CATAAAGCCTGCCATTTGAAATAAATAAATAAATAAATTACGCTAGGCTTTCCATCAAGTGATATTTTGCCATAAATCTTACAGAGGATAAGTCGAATCATATTTTTGTGGCGATTCGCTACATACCACAGAGGATTTTATCTATGAAAATATCATTTTAAAAAATGGTTTATTTCACTGGAGTAAAATATATTTTTTTGCCTTCCTGCGTAATTATCCTCTCCTATGACAAGCTTTCAATTGCCGAAGAAATGGCTGGAAAACGTGATTGGATTGTAATTAATATGTCTGGCCGCAAAACTGTTACACACTGTCATAACCTAATTTGCCTCCCAAAATAGTCACAAATTCTAGAACTATAAATACGTAAATGCCTTAAATACTAGAATAATGATGGGATATGGCGATGACAACTGCTATGATTGCTTAACAGTAAAATGTTAGTCTAATTATTTTAGGATATGACTGAGTTTTAGATCCAATTTCGGTGGTCAACTGAAGCGCCAGAAGAGACGAATGAGCCGGTGAATGGTTGGAGGGAGAGGGGTTTCAGGGTTTCTAAGGGAAGAGCATTTGTGCCCAGATGGATTCCTATTTGATTCATTTTCGGCTGAAGATATTTACGATTTTGTCACTGTTTTCTTCTATGGAATAAGAAGGTGCATTATAGTCATTTTAACTGTTTGCTCCTCCCAATCTTTGGAATCTTAGAAGGGATTTGGTTGCGTTAAGACCAAATTCTTCGAATGAAGTGGAAGGAGAAATGGATGAAACTTTTGGACGCGATAGCATTTGGTAGTCTATGATTGACTAATATTTGGAGGAGTGGGTAATTTCGATACCAGGTGTGGTAGACTTGATGTGTATAACAAAAAAGCCGATTTGAATATGAATCGGCCGTGAAATGAGGCATGATTATTAGATTCATCAATGTGAAACTAAGCAGTTTTAGTATGGGAGCCAACATTGTGCACCACCACTTTTGATTATATCTCTTTGCAATTTTATCCTCGCTAAGCGCCAAGCGCCAAGAGGTGAACGAGCACGACGCAGCCCGAATTTTGTCAAGACATTCTTGAAATTTAGATGACCTTCTTTGAGTCCTTATAGGCGGCGCATTTGGTTTTTTTGGTGATCAAGCAGACGAGATGTCGCGGATGTATTTTGATTGGGCACGGTAGGCTTGAAGGCAACTCAGAGTGAGCTTGGAAGAAGTTAATTTTGCACAACTTAGGTTATATGCTCAACTTTAGACACCACTACCGTACTAGTCAACTAATTTCATTCGACTGCCATTGCTTAATGATAACTTATTTTAACTCTATTTCAGAGTCTAAATCCGGATTCCAGAGAAGTCAAAGGGCGTATCCGAAATTTTCACCGCAACTTCCTGATCAATTATTTGCAAATTTCCCAAAGAAGATATCCAAATAACTCTCAGAGCACCGAGCGAATTCCTATTCTGTATTGGTGGTCTAACAGAACTTCTCAAGGTCATGAATTTGAGAAGGCATGTTGCAAAGGAGGATATTATATTAGCCATCGGATTTAAACCTACGTCATATACCACCCCTACCCCACGGCACTTGTTTTACATCATAAAATATAAATACTAGCTGTATTTGCAAATTCAAAAACCAACTAAACGACCACTCCCATTCCACAAAAAAGCGTTCCTAATATTGAGTGGGGGGCCACCAGAAACCTAACTGCAAAATAACCTATTTCAATCCAATAATACGATAAAATATTCGTCAACGCTTTTTTTTAATGCAATGCAGCTTATTCCTTAGCTCAGCATACCAAAAAATAAGACACTCTTAACTGAAGTCACTTTCAATTTATTTAGCTGCAAAAAAGGATCTATAAAGATTCGGGAGAAAGGTAGAACATAGAAAAGTCCACGGGAGTTTTCAGAAGCACAGAAGTGGGAAAAGAGATATAGAGATAATGTTGCAGAAATTGTTGTGAATAGTGCGCATCTATCAAAAAAGTTAGTCAATTCGAGAGAAAAATAGAAGGATGTGAAAGTAAGAAAAAAGGATAATGAATAGTTCAAGGACCATCTGCGGCCACATTGTTCGCCTTGGGTTGGAGTAGGCGACCAAAGAGCTGAAGCAATCGATGGATACCAGGAAGGAGTTGTGAAGAGGCCTCTGTCACTAGGATACAGTCCACAACCAAGGGATAAATATCGATCACATAACTCCAAGTGCTTGCATCAACTAGGAAACATAGAAAAAGACATTAGCATCCTTTGACCTAATGTAGAATGGAAAGTTGTGTTAAGTACTAACCGGATGTCGAAGGGGAAGGATGAGTAGTTGGAAGATTTTGTGGTGGAGGAGTTGTAAAATTTGTGAGAAGAAGAGCCAACGCCTGCAGTGCAAAGTTCACCTCCGACAACCTAGCACTAGGAAATCCATAAGAGGAAAAAAGGGAGGAAAGTGAAAATAAAGAGTTGGTATTTGATGTTGAGGTAGCATCTATGATACTCACCGTGGAAGTGGACATTTGCCAGTCAGCTGTGCTGACTTAACAAATCGATGGAGGATGAAACGACATCGGTCTAGAACATCTCGAATTGCCGTGCGACAGAGCACGATATGGGGTTTATTGGCCAACCCCATTTTCAAGGATTTGTTAGTTGTTGCTACGGCAGAGAAAGCAAAATTAAGCAGGGCCTCAAAGCAACGCCGCATGAACTTCTCTCGTGAGACAAAAGGTCGCAAATCGCGTTCAGAAGATGAAACAGAGGGACAGTTTGAGACCGCAGACATGGCAGTGATGGAAGGAGAGCGATGAACGAAAGGCTGAAGGGATCCCATTGTTACTGAGGAGCGTCTAGATTGGGACTCATTGAGATTTAAGAGAGGAGGTCTTAAGGTGTTTGGATCCAGTAGAGTAAAATCTGCAGCAGTTATTGATGCTTCAATTGCGCCCAACCCCAATATTCCAACCATTTGTTCGAGAAATTTGGGAGGCATCCCATCCGGTTTCGAAAGAAACAGATCGCAAATCATGTCGATATACTACAAAGAGGTAAGCTTAAACTGAAAACACCAATGCACCAAGGAAAATGTGAAAACTCGAGTGTTCAGTCGGTGGACATGGGCCGTGAGCAAACAACTGGATAAAGCAAATGGTGGATAATATGACTAAAGGTGAGTACCTTGTGACGATAAAGCTCATTATGACTTCCTCGGATTAAAGTCCCTTCAATATTTCAGGCTTATTTTTCTTCTAAATTTTGTAATTATGATAGCTCTCCACCAACCAATTGAGTTCGCTATCTGGAATTGGAATAGCACTCATAACATGCGGTTAAAAGACCGGAAATTGAACCGATTACACAAAATAGCGAGTTTGACTACTCTCTGAGTCAATTCGTCCTGATTTATCGAGAGTCCACAGCCGCGTGACCCAAAATCTGTTGATCTTCGCTTCTCCGCGCTTTCAATGTACTGCTACCAAGGACAATATCTCTTGTTTTATTTTACAGGAAGAGGCGGACTGAAAATCGGAAGGGTGATAACTCATCAAGAAGTTTAAAGGCCCTACAATCACTTGCTAACGAATGCTCCCCCCCCTCTCCAACCACTCTTAGCAATCTCATTCATTGAGACTCAATGATTTTCCGTTTTTGTGTTACCAAGATTGGCACTAAAATTCCATCCGACAAAGCTTCCTAATAGAATATTCAAGACTTTTACCTTGCAGTCAAGTGCCTCATGTTGCTGAAATTCTTCACCCGAAAGAGTTTCTGTCGGCAAACTAGAAAAAAAGAAGCTTAGAACAGTTAAAGTCGCAGTAAAATTCAAATCAATCATTTGACAGAGTAAAACTCACTTTTGGCAGAAGAGAAAATCCCGAATGGTGAAAAAGATTACAGTCCACAACTTATCTACAATAATGGAAATGGAAGGTATTTCAATGCTCGCAATAAACCATACCACCAATTGTAAAGTAATATAATCATCCTTTTATTTATAAACCCGGTATGCATCTACCATCTTAAGACACAGAAGTGCGAATTTGAGGGCTTAATGCAAGAAAAGGGAAGGAGAGGCTTAGATAAGTGATACACGCTATTCACTCCTTACTCTTCGAATCAGATTGAGGAATAGAGGTTGGGATTTTTTGCTGTTTTCTGATATTCGCTGCGTTTAATCATTTTAAGATGCACCATCTCACAGACTCATCAAATGGGAATGGAATTATAATAAGGTACAATTTAAACCAGAGCGACTTTGGTAGGACTTAAAGCGCTCAAATGCTTCTTAGAATGCCAATCGATTATGTTAGGTTATTTAATTACAAAAATTTAAAATGACAATTGAAATATTTAATTAGTATTGTACTGACTCTACTTCAGGCAATCTGATATTCCCAGGAAGACATAAAAGCAAGATCGAATGAAACTGCCACACACACACACACACACACACACACACACACACACACACACACACAC